ACGCTCACGCTTCCTTCCGTCTGGTCGAAGGAACCCTGACCAGCATTGATTACTCCTGCTTGGGAGGATTGACTGTCAGTTTGCCCTACCCTCCAACCCTTTGGTTGTATCGACTAGGCGTTGAAGCACAAGTAATTGGGAGAGATGTCTGTCCGTTTGAGACAAAAGCCTCAATTTGTCCTTCTCGGGACTGCATTCCTTGCCGTTGTTGGAGAGGGCCCCTTCTTCCAATCTGAACCCTCGATTGTATCCTGCTCGTCACACTGCTTGTTCTTGTGCTCGTTGTACTATTCCTCCTTTGTAGATTACATGGTGTTCCGTTGCTTTGCGGCTACGCCTGATGCCACTTTTTCCATATCAGCCTGTTGTCCACTATGGTGGCGATCTTGCCCTTTAACAACCAGTTCCTCAGGAATGTTTGTCTTTTAATGCGTGCTTTTCTCGTCTGTGCATCATGGATGAGGATATTTTATGCCACCTGCCCCGAATTTCAGTCTCCACCATGCTTATAAGAAGAGTCCACATTTCCTCCCTTGACACCTCTGCTCCTTCAATTGTCCGTGTGGATCTACGTTTCCATATGACCCAGAGAGCCAGTTTTCTGAGTAGATTGAACGAGACTTCCTTGCTGCCTTTCAACTTCCTGGGAGTGTTAGAGAGGAGTAGGATAGTTAGAGGGGAGGTGTTTGGGGGTGGCGCTGAAAAGAGGATGGACCATACGTACCGAACTTTGTACCAGATCCTGTTCGCTTCAGGACAGTAGAGGAGGCAGTGGAGGATATCTTTTGGTGTGTTGTTGTTGCACAAAACGCAGAGTTCTGAGCTATCTGGGTCTGAGTGTTTCCTTCTTTTGTGGAGCCATTGACTGACCGGGAGGGCTACGTGTGCTAGGAGCCATTGCATGCTGCGGATTCTAACGGGCCTGATAAGAAGGTATTTGGTCCAGGGAATGGTGAACGGGATCGAGGGGACTAGGTTCGGGATGTTTTGCCATTTTTCTTTTAGCCCGGGGTTTGGGTCCGTTGTCTGCAACCCGAGGTCGTAGCCGAATTTCACATTGTATTCGGAAATCGTTCTTGATTTCCTGTTGGAGCCTTGTTTCCACATCCATTTGTTAGGGTCGAATTCCAGGTCCTCGATGCTGAGTTCTGGCTGGAATATGACCCATGGTCTGTTCTGAGTGACTCTGACCTTTTTGAGAAGGAAGGTTTCTAGCCGCTCTGCTTGAGGGATATCGTTCTGGATTTCCAGTTCCTGAAGGCTGTGTTTGGAGATTGGGTAAAGATAAGAAGCTGGATTGGTAGCTGGAGAAATCTGATCTAGAAATGAAACGATAGGCCCTCACGGACGGAGTTTGAGAGATAAGTAGGCCCCATTCGCCTGGTTTCCACGTGAATCTTTCTCTTAGGAGAGCTATCCACTGAGCGGGGATGCTCTGATGTATCGTTGCTAGATTGGTTTCCAATGAATGGCACCCCCTAAGGGAGGCTCGAAGCTCTTGGTCCGCCAGCCAATCATCTCGATCTGTGGACCATAGATGTTTTATCTGCCACACTCCTCTCTCCAACCAGATCAGCCATCTGCGGTCTTTCGCGAGGAGGGTCCAGGGATTACTTTCTGCGTCCTTTATCCATGGATTGCTGAAGATAGGCTACCTGAGGACTTCCTCTTTGTTGCTCAGCGCACCATGTTTGTTGGGCATTAGTTGACGCCAAGCTTTCAGGGTCGGCATCCAGTAAAGGTTGGGCGAGGGGGTAGGTAGGTTGACTGGTCATCTCTTGCTGCACTCTCCTTGCTGTTCTCCCTGTTCCGATTGACCAATTTTTGGCCATTCATCCAGAAGAGGCCCCGCATGTTGGGTAAAGAATTTGGTGGTGCCAGGTTTCTTATGCTGTGTAGGCGAGAAATTGTTTGGTTAGGATCTTGATAATCCATTTCATCTTAAGGGCGATTGCTTCCTGTTTTGGTTCTATAATGCTCAACCCTCCTTCTTGCGGTTTTCTGGTGACTAATTGCCATGCGACCTTGTTGATGCATGTGGTCCTGTTAGGGTTCCCAGTCCACAGGAAGCATCTTACCCTAGCCTTCAAAGTCTTGAGGTCGTCGTCCAGAGGGGGACCAACTGGATGCCATATACCACAGGGTAGAGAATATTGTCGTGTTTATGATTAGTGCTCTGCCGAAGAGAGATGCATGGGCTTTCTTACATGGGGCTAGGGGAGCTATTGCCTTCGCAATTAAATTTTGTCCCATCCCTGGCCATGTGCCGTCCTTGTTGATCATGATACCCAAGTACCGGAGTGCTTGGTCGCCCGTGGGCTATGACATGGGGGTGGATGGATCCGGAGGTTGAGGGGGGCTGCCATCGGCTAACCACCAGCCTTCAGTTTTACGCCAATTCACCTTCATTTTTGATGCGAGTCGAAAGGCCTCCATGGCTCTGACGAGGGCCTAGAAGGAGGAGTTATTCGCCCGAATGAGGGCCGTGAGATCATCAGCGAACATCAACACAGTGGGAAGAGAAAAGTCATGTAGGGGGTTGTAGTTCTGTTCTGTGAGGCGATCTATGGAGGGGTCCTTGCGAAGGAACGATGCTATGGCTTCCATGATGAGAAGGAAGATGGGGGGCCTAGTGGGTCACCTTGGCGTACGGACCTCGATACCGGGTAGGAGTCGGATAATATTATGTTAATTTGGACTCTTCCAGTGGCATCTCCATAAATAATTCTGACCCATTCCCTGAAATTCAGATCAACTCCCATCTTCTTCATGCAGTTATGGAGGAAGTCCCAATTGACTTGATCATAGGCTTTTTCAAAGTCAAAGAACAGGATAGCAGCCTGCATTCGTCTTTCGTGATCTTCTTTGCTGCCTCGTTCAAGGTCATCACGTTGTCTAGGATGTATCTCCCCGGGATCAATCCTGCTTGATCGATGTGAAAGCATTTATCAGTGAGTTTTATGATCCTGTTGGCTAATGTTTTCGCAAGGATTTTATAAGGGGTTGTGAGTAGTGAGATCGGTTTGTAATTCCTTAGGTCCGCTCTATCCCCTTTCTTGTGGAGTAGAGAGATCACGCTGGTGTTACGGACTTGGCCCAAACCACCCTTTGTCTTGCTGTCATTGATAAAATTGAGGAGGTTGCTCCCCAATGTCGGCCAAAAATGGATTCAAAACTCTTTAGAGAGACCATCGATCCCTGGAGCTTTGTCGTTCCCCATCTGGGATAATGCTATGTGGAGCTCCCCTAGGGTGATTGGTTTATCTAGGCCTACCGTTTTCTCCGGCATTATCGTCCTGTCCAGGTAAGACATCATATGTTGACGAGCTGTTAGGTTCGTAGTCGAAGGGGGGGGAGGTGTCTTGGACTTGTAGAGGTCCGAGTAGAAGGACCTGGCTATCCTTACCATGTCTGTGCCAGCTGATTTCATTGTCCCTTGGTCTAATGGGTCTTTTAGTTTTTCGATCGTACTGTTTCTAGTGTTTGCCTTAATCTTGGAGAAGAAGAACTTGGTCACGGACTCATTAAGGGTGTAATCAGTCATCCTGGCGTGTAGTTGCAGGCCTCTTAGTTCCCATCTCCTCCATTCGTTGAGTTCCTCCTTGGTAGATTTGAGTAGGTCGTAATAGAATTAGTGGGATCTGATGTAAGATTGGCTTCAGCGATTGTTATAGCAATTTGAAGTTCCTCTTTTCTGATTTTGCGTTCCACCGCTATGCTTCTCGATTCGACCGATACAGTCTGGGACAAGTCCGTATAGCTGTCTATAAACCATTGGTGTCTGTTTTGTCGCCTAGCCTCCACCTGTCTCATGAGCAACCTGTTAGACGATCTGTGGAAAGGAGGGAATTGTTCAGTCTAAAAAAGTTGTGGCCTTTCTCCACCGGCACGTTAAAATTAAGGAGCAGACATATGGGTTTGTGGTCCAGCCCTATAAATGCAGCTGCAGGCAGAATTTCGGCCTCCTTGACGGTGCCCTGGAGGAGCTGAAAGATCAGAAAGAAGTCGATCCGCGAGAGTGATATGTGGTTAGCCCGATTTCTCTTAACTAGAGAAAAGGCTTTCGCAAGAGGATGGAGAGTTCTGAACGGGTCGATCAGTTCGAACTCCGTCATGATATTCGGAATGTGGGTTCGTGCTCTTGTAGGGCCTGTCAACACTGAAAGAGAGATACGGTCGAGATTTGGATCCAGGGTCGTGTTCCAATCTCCTGCAATAATTACCAGTAGAGGATTCGGGATGAGCTGTTTGACGTTATTGAAGAATTCTAGCTGTTCATTTTCTGCGTTGGACGCGTAGAGGTTCAGAATTCTAAGATCCTCCTCCTGCCATCTGATATCAATCCAGGACCATCTGCCCTCTGCCGTGTCTCCTTCCCCGTCCAACACCTGTCCTTCTGTCTCAATTTTGGAGTTTCGGGGTATGAGGATTGCAGTTCCTCGCTTGCTCAGACCCGCTTTGTTGGACCAGAGTGTGAAATCGCAGCCACCCAAGCTTTTTTCCACTGTCCTCTTAATTCTGGCGCGGTTTCTGAGATCTGACAGGTGGGTTTCTTGAAGTAGGATGACGTCTGGTTTCGGCTTCTTCTTGTCTATTAGACTTATTCGAATGTCCTGAAGTTTATCTTCCTCGGACAGAATGTTGCCTAGGCCGTTGACGTTCCAGCTATGGATTGTCAGGCCCTTTGCTCGCCAGTCAGTTCTGACTGCATTGTCTAGCGTGTTGTTGCAGTCCATAGACCAATGTTGTCCGGGTCACTGGGTTTTGTTCCTTGCTGTCCTTTGTCTTTTTTTTTTTCTTTTTTTTTTTGTTGCTCAGTTGGGGTGGGCGTTTGTGGGGCAGGGTTGTTCGTTGAAGGTTCGATAAATCTAGTCCACTGAGAATCTTTTAATTGTCTTTTCTTCGAAGAATAATTGATGCTATTTGTTCTGGGCTCATTGTTAATCATCGACGCAACTCGTTCTGTGCTCTCTTGTCTCTTTTGACTGATTGATTGGCAGATCGGGCCGAGAACTACAGTGGACGTGGCAGTGAATGCTACATGCGCACAGTTGATGGAGATGAGGGTGAAGATAACTCAGACGAGGATTGGCCTGCTGCCTGTTCAAGCAAACCTGGCCAATTGTATGGGGCAGGTCTCTGCAGTGGTGGCTTCTGATCTGTGGAAACGACACCAGATTGCAGTCGAGGCAGCATTCGGGTAAGCCTTTGCGGCGACAGACAGGGAAATTGTTTCTTAACTTTCTTTATTTTATATCATATAGTATATTTCAACGTTTGCATTTGATATTTTATTAAATTATTAGCCAATTAGGTTCTATGGAATTCGCTTGTGGTATCTCCAATTATTCTGTGAGTGTATTTCATCTGATGAACCATGCTCTTTTTTAAAGCAATCTAGGCTACCAGCCGGGCCGCCCGGGTCCTGGGTGGCCAGCTCCTGCAAGGACAGGGTAGGTCCCAGCAAAGAAAAAAAAAAAAAAAAAACTCCAAAAAATCCGACAAAAAACTATGTTATGCAGAAAAATAAACTGAACAACTTTTGCCGCAGGGTCACATTGAAATTCTTCACCAAATTTAGAATAAAAAATCAATACCATCAGGGGATTGGAATGCTACACTTGACCCGTCTCTGGACCGTTTCGCAGGAGGCAGACCAGGACCGGATCAAGCATCCTGGAATGAAGCTCTCCCCATCCACGACCTGATGCTAGAAAAGAGCCTAATAGATCCATTCAGGATCAAATATCCAGAATACAAGGAATTCACTTACCTGAAAAGGAACAGAAGCCAACACATATCAGCCTCAAGAATTGACTACTTCTTAGTGTCTGAATCGCTCATAGGAACAATCTCCAACATAGAAATAGGCGGACTACCCCACTATTCAGGACTAGACCATAAACCAATCCGACTATCCCTCAATTTAGGAACCTCCCCATCCAGAGGACGCAGTTTTTTCAAAATCAACAACTCGCTCCTCAACACACCCGAGCTGCGGGAAGTGGTCCTCTCGGCTTGCCTCGGCCACGACAATACCACCCATGATTTCCCAGATCTAGTCTCAGCCTTATCGGAAAATACAGCAAAAGCTTCCAGAATCCTAGCCTCAAAAAGAAAACAAAGAGAGGAGGAACTTCAGCAAGCGCTAAGGATAGCAGAGAGAAACCTCGTGAATAACCCCGGAAATAGCCTCTACGAACGAGTCCTCGAGCGTACCAGGCAGGAGCTTTCGGAATGGGAGGAATGGAGAAGTAAGGGACTGAGGATGAGGGCAAGGGTTAAGGACGGGGAAGAGGGAGAAAAAATGACCAAGTACTTCTTCAACAGGATCAGGACGAATGCCCGGAACGCAAATATAGACAAACTCCAAACGGAACAGGGGACTACCTCCAACCCACAGCATATGCTGGCTGCTGCAGCAAACTTTTTCCAGAACTTGTACACTTCCAAAGAACAAGAATACCCAAAACAGGAAACAGAGCAATCCAGGACTCAGTTTCTAGCACATTTAGACAGAACAATATCAGCAGAGCAGGCAGCAGAGTTGGATGCCCCGATCTCTGAGCAGGAGGTTTTTGAGGCATTAAACTCAATGAAACCTAACAAAACTCTGGGACTGGACGGTCTCTCCAAGGAATTCTGGGTAGCTTTCTGGCCAGTATTAGGAACAGAGTACTTCAAATTCCTAGAGAAAGCCTGGGCCAAGGGTTCCTTAGGTAGAAGTCTAAGCACAGGAGTAGTCTCACTTCTATACAAGAAAGGGGACCCAACGGACATTAGGAATTACAGACCAATTTCCTTATTAACGGTCACATACAAAATCCTGGCCAAGCTCCTAGCAAACAGAATAAGAACAATAACAAAGAACTGCTTCCACCTCGATCAAACTGGTTTTATATCGGGTAGATTTATACTAGACAACGTAATGACCCTCAATGAATCAGTCAGATACATCCAGGACAAGAGAATGAATGCGGCCATACTTTTTTTCGACTTCGAAAAAGCATATGACCAGGTAAATTGGAACTTCTTGCAACTAAGCATGGAAAAAATGGGGGTAGGCCCTAACTTTCATAAATGGGTTCATATCTTATACGCAGAAGCCCATGGTAGAGTACAGGTTAACGGCCATCTTTCCCATACCTACCGAATGTCCCGCTCAGTGAGACAAGGAGACCCTCTGGCAGCCCCCATTTTCCTCTTCGTCATGGAAGCCATCGCTTCCTTCTTGAGGAAAGACCCGTCAATAGAAAGACTGATGGAGGACAGACACCACCCAATTAGCCTCCCGACTACCATCTTGTTCGCGGACGATCTAACAGTCTTAATCCGCGCCTCAGACTCCTCGTTTCAGGCTCTGACGAGGACAATGCAAGCGTTCCAAATAGCTTCGGAAATGAAAATTAACTGGTCTAAAACGGTCGGATGGTGGTTGACTGACTCACAAACAGCCGTTCCACAAAACTCCCCCGAAGGAATGATTTGGTCGCGGGGCAATGAACCTCTCAGATTTCTAGGAATCCAGATGTCTAAACAGGGCCCCAATCACGCGATGGCGCCAGCCATAATGAACAAAATGTTAGCCAAATTAGACAGCTGGTCGGACGTTTATACCTCCTTATTTGGTAGAGCCCTCATTCTGAACGCATCAATCTTCTCAATGGTATGGTATGCAGCAACAATTTGGAGCCCGCCGAAACAGATAAGAACTCAGCTAAGAAAGAGGGCAGCAGCCTACCTATGGTCAGGGGACCCCTCCAAAGAGAACTTCATCTCCAAGGTAGCTTGGAGATACGTCACACTCGCGAAGGCTCAAGGCGGGTTGGGAATCATAGACCCAGAAACACAAATCAAGGCTCTGCAAACAAAATGGATCCTCAAAATATTAACTGATCACAACTTGCCTTGGATAAAGCTAGGTTTGCACAGGATTCAGCAGATAACCAGATACAAAACCGCGGACAACATGCAGGGCCTCTTTTGGATCATGTCCAAATCTTGGGCTATGAAAGGACCCCCGCACTCCACGAGGGCAGAAGACGAGGAAGAAGATCAAAGCAGCGAGTTCTGGCGACAACTTTTGAAAACATGGAGGGAAATATTGCCTGCCAAGGTGAGAGAACCCACAACAAAGGAAGAAGTCCTTCGACAGCCCCTCTTCTGCAATCAATGGATGCTGGACTTACAGGGCAAGCCGTGGACCCTAACTGGAATGGACACTAAATGGGGAGCTTGGGTAGAAAAGGGAGTATGGCAAATCAAACACCTATGGCAAGATGGGGAAAAGAGATGAAAGACAGTCAGCGAATTAAGAGAAAGCTTGAAAGGATGTCACAACCTACAGGCCAACTTGAATAGTATCCTGGTCTCAGTACCAGAAGCCTGGCTAAGGCTGCTCCAGGATCCGTACAAATGGAAATCAGGCGAATGGGCAACAAAAAAAGGAGACAACCCTCCCACCGCAGCATACCGCTTTCGCACAAGGGAAGGACCGAGGGGGGAATGGATGACATGTGACATTCACGCCATTGTAGATCCAGGGTCAACTACAAGCCTCCTCATCCGAAACCCGTCGGGCGAAATATCCATACCGGAAGGGGCGATGAGGAAGGTGAGAGTAGTGGAAACGGAGGAACGTCGCATCTACAACCCCCGTTTATCTATAGAGGAATTGGAAATTGATCCAGCTGAGTGGGCGTGGAGAATAAAATTGGGCAGACTAGGACTAGAAAAATGAACCAATATACTGGATTATACCACCAAACTAGGCTACACACTAAGAATGAGATCATACCCGTTAACTCAGATCACAAGTCAAAGATGGGAGGAGCATCTCAGTATACCGTTCAATCAGCCAATCATCGCTTCATGGAAGGGAGTATACGCTATCACATCGGTCAAAATAAGAAGCTTTCAATGGTTACTCTTCCATAGGGCCCTCCCAGTCAACCAATGGCTCAATAGGAGAAGAAGCATTCAGTCGAGATCGCCGCTACCAGAACTCTGTGCTATTTGTTCGGATGGCCTAGTGGAAGACATTGAACATTGCCTACTATATTGTCCAAAAGCTAAACAACTATGGGCGAAAGCGGCTGAACTGTGGCACTCAATTACTAGCAAAAGCCTCCCAATGGATCAGATCCCTCTCTTAATGGGCATACACACACACCCAACATGGCAGCAGTATGAGACCTCATTTTTCCACATATTAAGACTCGCAACTCTATGGACAATTTGGAAGCGTAGATGCCAGGAGACAATCGACCACACCGTATTAGCAATACAAAAAGCATGGGAAGGATGCCTCAATCTCATAGAGATCGAATATAGGGGAAGATGGAAGAGGACCCGCAGAAAAATAGATGGCGATCGAGAAAACAAAGACAAAATAATAGAAGCTTTCAGGAAACAATACCTGGGGGAAGGGAAAATAGCAACAATCAACCTGGACAGAATACACTTTATCCACTGGAGGCTGTACCATCCAACCCAAGCCCAGGAGCCAACGTCACAAAAAAGCAGATCCCACCTGACGGACATAACGTTAGGCGCAACATAAATAATCACATGGCCACAGAGCACTCAAGAGAGACGTTGATAAGCGCACCTACAAGTAACCAGGACGAATCCAAAAGTGAAAACTGAATTTAGTACACCACAGCTAGCTTAGAGAGGGTCAGGGCCCATACGGAGAACCCAACACCGAGAGGTAGAAGAGCATATGACACCAGCACCGCCACCACCACAAGTCTACCCAGGCATAGTATTTTACGAACGGCAGCCGTAGAGAACCAAGTAGCACTATAGGAAAGGACCGCTAGACAACGGCTAATACCAGACAGAGAAGACCCAGGGTTTAGGATCCAAGATCGCACGTCTTCCCTTCGAGACCATGAAACGATAAATTGAGTCAGTTTCTTAACCGAGGGCTTAGGGTTTAGGGTTTATCAAGGATAGTCACTTGCATTCCAGAAGCTCTCGGTTAGAACTCCTACTTGACAGTTTCATAACTGAGAGGAGCAGAACTGGGATCGGACGGTGTAGCAGACAGAACTAGTACAGGGTAGCACAGGGTAACTTAGGCAGGGGTGAGAGGTGGTACATCCTTCCGCTTGGAAGTAATCAATGCCGTCTACTCGGGCCCCCCAGCCATAATGGGGGGGAGCGTGTGTGAGTTGTCTATGTACTCTTCATTGA